GAGTGGGTGGGAATTGATAAATGTTAATTCAAATGTTCACCTTTACATCTATCTCAAGAGTGGGAACAATTTATCAATTGATTGTAAAACTAAACAAAATTTTCACCATGAAGCCATCCCTTTCTATGTTTAAAGGTAATCAAATCACAAAATCTATAAATACCCCCATGAAAGACTTTTGTTTTTTTATGTAAATCATAATCTATTTAAATCAAAAGTGAAAATGGGGGGAGTCTCTTAAACTGTAGGTGCTTTAAAAACCCAAAAGTAAGTCTGTCTTTCATGGATCCGATCACGCTTAGTGGATGAGTTATACTTGCCTATTTGTTTTTAATTACTCAGAACCTCTAAAACAAAATTTTCAATAGTAGTTAAAAGTGTAACATAATTTCAAATAAAATGTTTTTCCTATTTAATGTTGGCATGTTAGAGATCTGGAGCTCAAAATTAGACGGATTACCACCCCCTCCCCTCAAAAAAAGGCACCAAAATATGCAAACACAAGTAAACCAGGCCAGCTCCAGAGTTAAGGCAGACCAGTAGTTTATCCCTGGAGGCCACACCAGTTAGTCACCAGCTCTGTCAATTCTCTAAATCACTCCTGTCACCCTCCCCATCTCCAAGGAACAGGGCTCCCCCATCCTTTCCTCCTGGATACCACCCAGGAGGAGGGGAGACATAGGCGGCCCAGACACCCTGGCTCGGTCGGTGTGCTTTACTCTGGCTTGTCTGTCTCCCAGCTTCTCCGACTGCTGCCCCAGACCCCACACTCAGCCACCGCCGTTCCCAGGACGCTTGGCTGGAAGCTGTGATCCAATGGAGTTCCTCCTTCAGAACCTGGTTCAAACGTTTGCCCCCAAGATGCTTCTGCTGATGCTCGCAGGCGCTCAGCAGATGAACCCCAATGAGGAGGTCTCACCCTGGCCCATGGACCTCTTCGCATGTCTGATAGTGTTTAAAAGAGAAGTGTAGGTGGTGACAGCAGCCCGGTGCTGTCGAGCGTTAGTTACAATGATGTCACCCGGTTACAACGCGACCTCACTGTAGCTATCGACTCCATGCCTGTTTGAGTTGCTAAACATGCCTTTGGGGGGAAGATTCTAATAATTAAGAATGGTATTAATCAACATTCCTTATTTTAACATTTGCAAAATCAATGACAACTGAAATCACCATTGGAACCCACATAGGAAGACAATTTCATTAGCTACTTGGGACCTTTCAATGTTCTTATATAGGAAACCAAAAAACTAAAGGCTGTGAAAATGAAAGACTTTTCCTAAAGCCTCTGGCCCACAAGACACAGAGGGGGAGCCTGGCTATCACCAGGGCGGTGCCAACCTCAGGGTGCACTGGCAGTGCTTGCTTCCTCAGCTGGCAGGGCTGCCACATCACAAGAAGAGGGCGAGCGCCTGTGCCTCCTGCCGGACTAGCCTCTGCCAGTGAGGAAATGCCCCAGCAAACAAGCCGCAAACAAAGCAACAGCATAGACGCTGACAAGGCCAGAAGCAGTGAGGGAAGGTGGACACATGAGGATGCCACCCAGACTGGCAACCCCTGCAGGACCATAAGCTGCTGCTTCTACAGATAAGTTACAAGTGACCTATAGATACAAGAAGACACCGGAGGACATTCTGGCCCCTCAGTGTGTGGACTGCTTGGGGTCCAGATTCCAACAACAATGCCAACAAATTTTTACTGAGACAGTCAGAAATTTGATGAGACCAGTTGATATTCAGTATTGTCAATTTTTAAAAGAAATGATGTACAGTGGGCCTCCCCGGTGGCGCAGTGGTTGAGCGCTGGGTTGCGAAGCTGCCCGCGGCCTCTGCAGCGCCGGTTCGATCCCCGGCTGCTCCCCGGCCATGGGAGGAGGGTCCCACATGGCGCGCAGACCTCTCCTGCCGCCCGCTGCTCCCCTCAGCAGTGTACTTCGGTCCCTCTGCCTGCTCTGCTCCCCGCTCTGGCTCTGGTGAATTCTCTCACCCTCCCGCGCTTCTGACTGTACCCAGTGCATGTATAAACAAAACAAACAAACAAATAAATAAATAAAACATGCCTCTATAAAAAAAAAAAATAAAAAAAAAAAAAAAAAAAAAAAAAAGAAATGATGTACAGTAGTTATGTTTAAAAAAAGAGACATTTTTAGATATTTACAGATGATAAAAGCCTGGCATTAGTTTCAAACTGGACTGGGAGTGGGTAAGGGAGAGAGGACTCAAGGTTGGTTAATTAACCGGTAACTGTTCAAGTTGGGGGTGGAGGGACCAGGTCATTCGATTGTTCTTTATATTTTTATGTATATCTGATTTTTTGTCACCAGAAGTTGAAAATCAAACAAAAGAGGGGGCATATAGACCAAGAGGTCACCACACTTGAGCAGTGTACCTGCCTGCCCGAGTCTGAGCTTTGTGGACATGGAGTTGTAAACGTGGGGTTTTCTTTAAAGCAAAGGAAATTTTATGCTGCTGCTAGAATACCTTACGGTCATCTCTAAATAGTTGGAATATTCTTTTAAAATGTATTCCTTTAATGAAAGAGCATTTGATGTCTTTACCCTTCTAAGCAATTTCTTGCTATCTACTGCTACCTCCATGTTGGCAGAATGGAAAGCTCCAGTTTTTGTCATCATGTGTCATTCTTTTGAAGACAATTTTTGGAGTCAGGTGTTTGAAGTAATTTGGAAAATAAAGGTGCGAGCAATACATCATGCTATATGCTTAGCTAAGAAGAGAAGCCAGAGACATTTGAATGAGGTTTCAACACCTTGCACTTCCTGGACCAAATGTGCCCAGGCGGCCTGAGAGGAGGCGGGCGTGCTCTGAACCCACTGGCGGCTCACATGTCAACATGCAGGGCATGTTTTTAGGAGAGTTTCTGTGTCATGTAATGGACAGAATCACTTGTGCATCACCCATAGCTGAATGAAAGTCCCCAGCAGTAGGGAGATGGGGGCGCAGCCATGAGAGAAAGCCTCCAAACACACTAGAGAAGACCACGTGAGATCTGAAAGTCAAAAAACAGTGAGTGTGACCTGGCCTTATCGGTGAACCAAATGTTGATACCAACAGCGCCCTGGGCAATGCTTCTGGGAGGAAGGTAAGCAGGCTTTGGTGCTGGTTGGCCCTTCTGCAACCTTGGGCTCTCAGCTCGGCTGCACAGCCTCCAAAAGTCCAACCGACCATTCCACATTCTGGCCCTGACCGCCAGGTTCCTTCCCATTCTTTGCATTCCAGCAGCCGTGTGACCTTGCAGGGACTGCCAGTGCACCTGCCGGCTCCCTTCCCACTGTCTTGCCTTTCATGTCCCACTTGCTTCCCCACCCAGCTTGGATTCCAGAGTCTGGGGCACCAACCCCATCCTCACGGGTACCCTCAAGTACCCCCCTTCAGCACCATCTCTCTGGTAACCCCAACTTTTAATTAGTTTTCCCTATGAACCCAAGCAGCAACATGCTGCTGAAGAAACCCCACTCAGACACTTTCATTCTCAATCATAGCCAGACTCAAAAAGGGCTGTCTTCTGTTCCTGCACCACCTGGAACAGGCTCATGTCCTCACTCTTCAAGACTCTGGCTCTACAGCTCTTCTTTTCCACATTCTGCACCACTCTGCTGCCTGGTGATCTTTGCCACAGACAAAGGATATCATCAGACGGGACCTCCCAGGACCTCCCTGCCCAGTGGCACCCAGACGCAGTGCTCCTTGCTTGCTAAGTCATCATCATTTGCTTCTTCTCTATGGTAAACTCTATATTGAAGGAAAACATCTAAATGCAAGACTCCTCTTGACTCCATTCACCCTGAAACTATCCCTTCCTCCTCTGTTCCTTAAGCTTGCTGAGCATCTGTCCTCCTGGGGGTTTCAGCTTTGCTCCCTCTGGGAGGCTGTTTCCCTTGACCTCTGCACAGTGGGCTCCTTGTTGTGGGTCTCACCTAGACACCACCTTCTCAGAGATGCCCTCTGCTGCAGACACTGTCATAGGCCCCTAGGCCCCTTCAGGCCTGTGTGGCCTATTTTGGGGCAGGGCTGCTGCTGGTGGAGGGCCCTTGGTTGTCAGTGCTCCTCAGGAATCTCCCAGGCTGAAGATCTCACCCTGGACATGGGTATAGAAATGCTGGCCTCCCTCTTCCCCAATCCAGAGAGGTCCAAGGGCCGTGCCAGGCACAGGGCTCTCGGTAGCAGCGATATGGTGGAGGCACCACAGTCCAAAGTCTACTCGCCCAACTGCTGCCTTCCTTTTGCTTTCACAGGCTCACTACAAGGCATCCCTCATAAGCACCCTGAATGCTAATCTCAGCGTCCTCTCCCCAGCAAACCCCACCTGTGCCATTGCCCAGGCTGACACTCCCTCTACCATCTCACCTTGTTTTAGTTCTCTGCATAGCTTCTTTCATGGCTATGTTTGTGTATTTCCTATTATCTGCTCCCTATCACTGGAATGTAAATTCCACCCAAGCCAGGAACAGACTGTGTGCACCTCCCTGTCTCCAGAGCCCTCACCAGAGCCTGATTCTCAGCACACACAGTAACTGCAGGAATGAGAGGTGACTTTTCCATCTACATCCTCCATTTCTGACTGGGATGTTAAGGATTAAAGAGAAGGTACACGTGTAGTATTTATATGACATTTGGTACAAAGCCAACATTTTCTGAAGATGTAAAGATAAAGTTATCACCTTTAACCTTCAGGAAATAAGAAAATGGAAGAAAATGCAGACAACAGTGATTAAGTGACTCAACATCTGCCGTCATGGACAGACAGTAAGAAGAGCGTGAACCTGACAAAATTTGGCAAGCCATGGACTTACGGTGTGTAAATGATCATTTACCAGATAAAATAAAAACAAAAGACAGAGTGGAGTTACGAAGTTGAAAGGTTACCTGATGAAGAAGGGATTTAGGGGAAATGGGAGAAGGTGGTGGGAGTAACAGCCCCACCTCCAGAGACCACCGCGCAGGGTCTGGACACACAGGACATTGCACTGCAGCTTTACTCACAGGAGATGTGGTTTCTGGTTTGGATGCCGGAGGTTTAAAGGTAGAAGTACTTTTGGAAACATCTACTCTTTTATCTGCAGCTGCTTCTGAGGACAAACACTCCAAGTAATCTGGTGGGGGGATGACAACACTGCTCTTCTCAGATAAGTCCACTGTGCTGATGCTTCTCACAGGCGCAGGGCTGGCAACCAAAAGCAGAATACAAGTCAGATAAGATCCTGCCACTGGAATCCCAAACATCCTAAATATCTGACGGTGAGAATGGCCACAGATGAATTATCAAAAAGGGTGAGGAAGGAGGAGATCACAAGCGGCACACACATGCACAGGGCAGAAAGGTGGCTTCTGGTTCACTTTCTTGTTCGCTTTTGTTTTGGCTGGTTTATAAAGGTACATTCAACACATTCTTTATAAGACAGGACAAAGGGAGAGGAAAACTAGCTTAATTAGGGCTGGCTTTTGATTCATTCAAGGGGATCAATAAGAACAGGAAAGTCTTAGTAAAAGCATCAAGTACTTTAGATTAAAAAATAACCCACAATCTTAACATCCTAAAAATGCTTAGTTTTCTTTCTTGGCACAATGGCAGCTGATGTATTCCACTAGGGCTGAGAATACATAGATGACAGTGAGCAGCCAGAGGGAAGGCCCTGGGAGGTGTCTGTGGTGGTCAAGGGCTGTGAGGACAGTTGGGTGGGTCAGGAGGGATTCTTTGGCATGAGGAATGCCGTGGATGAGTTCAGTTTGGACATGTCATTCCTGAGGCCCCACGAGATAGCCAACTAGAACTGCCCAATATATAGTCACGCTGCAGCCTAGGAAGGTGGTCCTCCTGGCTTCTGGCCTTGGCTCGCCCTCTTTTAGTTGTGTGTCCTGAGCAAGTCATTAAATCCTTCTGTGCCTCAGTTTCCTCCACTTTAGTTCTAAAGGCTGTGAGGGTCAAGTGAACTGATTAATGTAAAGCCTTCTGGAAAATTTCTAAGTGATAAAGATGATGACTTAGAGTACAGATTTGGGGTTTACTGGCACAGAGGAGCTAACTGCACTATCTATCAGCACAGTTCAACTCACTTGGGAGGGCAAGATGGCCCAGGGAGGATGGAAAAGGGAAAAGGAGTGAGGAGGGATCCTATGGAAAACCTGTGTTTAAGTATTGGGCAGGAGAGGCCCCAAAAGAGACTGAGAAGGGCTGCTGGTGAAGGAGAAGGAAGATAGAGTGCAAAGAAGCCAAGGCAAGAGAAGACTTCAGAAGAAGAGTGTTAGAGGCTGCTAAGTAAGATCTAGATGGAAACCATGCCTTGGATTTAGCCCAGTAAGTGGTGTGAGATAGTGAGGGCTCCAGAGGGCTGAGGGAGGGGTGAGGGGCAGGGGTCTGGGTCTTGCTTCTTTCCAACAGTCAGTATGTAAAGCCTGTGGACAACAGAAATCACAAAGGAAACCCCTGTGTGTAGCACTCACTGCAAGATCTGAGGGTATTTTTGCTACACACTAGATAGAATTCTGGCACTCCTGAGAACACTATGTCAAAGGTGAGATTTCAGTCCCTGGGGAATCTGAGCCACAGGCAAATCCTACCTTGGCTTGGGCACACTCACAATCTCCTTTGCATTTTCTTCCAGCAACTTTGTATATGATGATGGGAACCAACCCCTTCTGCAGGTGAAGAGTGAAAAAAAAGATCTTGCTGTGATATCAGGGGCGGACAAGAGAGCAATCAGGGCGCTAAGAAGCAACTTGGTGACAAATTTGGTATAAAATACATAGTGTGCATTTCATATACAGCATTAATTTTACATGGATTGCCTTTTTCTCATTTTTCCATATTGGTTTACTTAATACCTGAATAATCCACATAGAGAACATATTTAATCTACAGTAAGGCTTGAGCATATTCTCATGGTTGAAATGATGATGATGCTACTTAAGTCATTTTTGTGCTAAATCTAAAAGTATATCTGCTGTGCAGGTTACCCTTAAGGAATCAGGATATACATTTTAAAAAAAGGATACACGGGCCTCCCTGGTGGTCTAGGGGTTAAAGTCTCAGCACTATCAAGCTATCCCCAACCACTGCGGCCTGAGTTCGATCCCTGGCCAGGGAGCTGACCCACATGGTGCAGCAGACCTCTCCTGTCTCACCTGCTGCTCCCCTCAGCAGTGTATTTCAGTAGATCCACCTGTTCTGCTCCCCACTCTGTCTCTGGTAGATCCTCTCACCCCCTTCCCCTGTACTCTGGCCTACACCCCAGTTCTTGTATGCATAAATAAACAAAAATAAATCTTTTTTTTTTTAATCTTTTTTTATCTTCAGAGGTGACTTCATATGATCTAATCTATATACGCATCAAATTTATCTATATATGCACACACACCAGGAAGATGGCCGGGAACAGTGTGACTCTAGTTAACTACAACTAAACTACGGACTTAACTTTGACTAAAATGCTAACATGTCTACCAAGACAAGTTGCTGCTAACAGGAGAGACAGCAGGTCTCTGAAGGGCCAGATGGGGTGACTCCGGCGAGTGGCATCCTCTCTGAGACTTACACTTTAGTGTCATCATGCTCTCCATACAACCAGCCGTCCTTCTCCTCAAAGATGAGCAGTGTGATGACATCTCCCTCTGCGAAGCTGAGCAAGGTGTGGTTAGTGCCAGCAGTGTGTGGGAAAATAGTTTTTACTTTCTGCTTTTTCATCATGTTCAGTCCAGTTGCAACAGAAACTGATCGCTGTAAACTGGGATCACCTGAAGAATCTGTAAAGCATGAACACAGTGATGATGGATTCCAGAGACTGACAATTAGGCTGATTCAAGTGAGCAACCCCAGGAAACCACCCATTCCCACCCTGACAGCACATATTCTACTGAAACCCCAAATGTGTCATGTCTCCCTACCTTCCTATTGGCCTGGGTGGACAGGGGCTGAAGGGACACAGGCAGAAGCCTGGCCCGAAGTCTCCCAGAGGGTCCCTGGGGCTAGAGAGTCTTTTCTAGATGGGAGGATAGATAAGTGTTTGCAAAATTTCAACTCTGACTTACTCAGGATGGCCCTGAGAGGCAAGTCACCCACTGGGAAATATCTGATGCTTTGCCTTCTCCTGCTCTCCTAGTACAAATGACAAAGGCAGTTTAAAGCATTAATTGAAAACAAACTGCCCAACGTCTAGTGCCACTAAAGGAGAAAAATGGAAATGCGGAAGATCTCCCAAGGAGTCTGCCCCGCTGCTCTGCCAGCCGCTTGGCGCATGGTGAGAACAAATAGTTATTGAGCCCCCTTAGGTGCTAGTCCACGAGCTCAGGACTTCACGGCTGCTGAGGGTGCAGTTACCCCTCACAGTGACTTGCCAGGGAACATCGCTAAGCAGGCAGAGCCAGGACTCAGAAGCAGCAGCTGGCCCCACAGCCCACACTGCACCCGATGCAAAACACTGCACTGCCAGTTCAAGTCTCAATTCAAATGCAGGTGCTATAAACCAATTAGAAAAAAAAAATCAGAATGGAGATGAACTGAAGCAAAAAGCTAAATTCATTCCCCCCTCCAAGACTATTTTAGTAAAAACTGGGAAAGTGGTTATGGAATAACCAAGGGGTTATGGAATATCGAGAATACCCAGATGATATAAGTTTTGCTTATATTTATTGCAAAAGTATTTTTTTGTAAAACAATCTTCATTGCATTAGTAAAAGCAGCTGCTAGATAACATAAATATAATGATGATTTGTTGTCTTCAGCCAAAAAAGTCCCCTCAATTTCTAGTCATAAACTTACCCTCCTAACTACTTCACCTACTCAGTACCCAGGACGGAGAAGGACATTAACATTGCTCATAGTAACAGTGCAAGGTGGTTTGCACATATGAACTCATTTGATCCTTACAACAACCCTGGGGTAGGGAGGGGAAGGTGTTCTTTATTTAACACCTGCTGGTACCAGGAGAGGACTTGAGGCTCAGAAAGTTACACAACTTGCCTAGAACTATGGAGCCAGTGGGGACAATGGGATTCAAAGTTTCTCACATTTAAACTCTGTGCTTTTCCAGAAGACACATTGCTTATCGTATAGAAAAGGTAATTGTAATTTTATGTAAGCGCCTAATTTAGTGGTAGGAATAAGGAGACTCCACAGAAGGTTCAAAACCCGATTTTTTCCTTCTTTTTAAATATTTTTGTACTAAAATTTTGCCAGCCTAGTAATGTATCCAACACACTTACTTCAAAATGATGCAGTATCTTTCTGGTTTATTTTTGCAAACTCTTAGCAATTACAATATAAACTTTGCAATTTCCTTAACATGTCACTCCCTAATTACTGTGATAGTATGGATTCTACTGGTAATGTCTAGTTCACTTTTGCCAATAAGACTCAGAGCCACTGGCATGTTTGGGCTGCACAGAACATTATCTATTTTAACTCTATAGAGCATATAACTTAGGGGCTCTCCTCTTCCCAGCAGTGACTCTAAAGCTCTCTCACTGTTCCCCTGAAAGCTGCCAATGCTGGGATTTTGGGGCTCTTGAACAGCACACGATGTGCTGGCCACGACCTTCACGCTGGCAGGCTCTATGAGACACCCCACACCCAGACAGGGAATAATCTCAAGGACCCCGGGTGCCAGACTTTGTGGGCAGAGTGGAGCCTAACCAGAGCCGCCTGAAATGTCAGCAAACATTAACTGATCCCGATTTGTTGAAATAGAGTCAACAGAATTAAGAAATGTAAACAGTTAGAACTTAAGTCTCCAGACCATGAAATGGTCTGTTAGTGATGATAAAAAACACTGATTTTAACTCAAATTAAGCCTACTGGTAAGATTAATAACTGTGCTTTTTTCACACAACTTTATAACTTGTAATGAAACCAGTTATAATTTTGTCAATAAAGAACTGTCACATTACAGTGGCCACCAAGTATGGAACACAGTGAGCGGTTTGAATATTACGTTCCATTTACATTCGAACACAATTCCTTTCAATGGGATGTTTACGTAAACATCAGTCAGCCCAGAGACTCAGTATGTGCACTCATAAATAATCAGTATGTGCACTCAAGTTCTGTGTCACTCATAAAGTGTCTAATGGTCTTATATAAACCCCAACCTTTATTTGTTTTGAGGTGTTCCTCAAAGTCAGCGCTAAGTGTGCGCGACCATACGTGTTTATCTCCTAACACATTGACCTACAATTTCTATCTTAAAAATTTAAAAATATATTTTAAAGGAAATGAAACTGAATACTTTACCTGAATTATTTATCTTTTCTGAATTCTGTGCCACCATTGCTGGATTATTAAACATATTAACCAAAGGGCTGGTATATGCTTTGGCTGAAGGCGCGGGGGGCACTTTTGGGGAGTACTTGGAAAGCGTGTCATAATCCTTCCCAACCTGTGAAAAATTCTTTATTAACATGAGTATAACACAGCAAAGGAATGATACAGACCCCCAGGGCTGTTCTGCATCACATGCCTTAAATTCTACTTTCCCCCCGAAGTTCTCTTAGTTGTACAATGCACCATTCTGAATTATTTCAAGAGTACCACATTTTTCTTTATCATTTTTGCCTTTTTTTTTTTTTAAAGCAGCTACTCCTCATTTCCTGACATCCCCTGGCAACCACTAATCTACTTTTGGTCTATCTGGATTTTAGATTCTCTCTTAAGTACTATTAAGCTACAGGATTCTCCACTTAAAATAATTTTTCCACAGAAATTTAAGTGCACTGCTCCATTAATTTCTAACATCTTGTTTTGCTAGCAAGAAGTCTGGAATTAATGGGGTTCTCTTTGTAAGATGACCTATTTTTCCCCCTCTCTGGAAGTTTTAAGAATTTTCTCTTTATTCCCCAAATTCTGCAACTTGACCACACTCTATTGTAGTTTTGTTCTTTTCCATTCATCCAGGGTCACTCTGGCTGCTGTATTAATGAACAGGCAGAAGGCTACTGACACTGCTGTGGGGTTGTGGTCAGGGCAGTGGAAGGCTGGGAAGTGGCTGGACTTAAGACATGCTTTGAGGGTGGAAACAAAAGAGCAAGCCCATGGAGAAGATGCTGCTCCATGGGCTTATATCTGAGCTACTGGAAGGAGAAACTTGATGTTTACTAGAAGGGAAGGTTGTGGAGGAGCAGGTTGAGAGAGAAAATCAGGCATTTGGTTTTTCAACAAGCTGAATTTGAGCTCCCTACTAGACACCTGGGTGGTGATGCTGAGTGCACAGCTGGACATACTGCCCATGTCTCCACCTGTCTCATGTTACACACTTGTCCTCTTTCTGCTTCCTATTGTGTTTTAGAAGAGTACTTTGGTTCAATTTTCCAAGCAGTTCCATTCTATTAATGAACCCATCTACTGTTTTTGTCTTTCTTTTTAAATTGCATTTCTTACATCACTGTTAAATTTTGGACAGTATTTGATTTCTCCCCTTAGGTGTAGTGCCTGTAGTTTTCCTACCACCACCTGTGACCCATCACCTGGGTTTGTTGTTTTTTTTTTTAATGCTTCTGGAGGGGGGAGAGAGAGCTTGTCACATCCATTTCCCCCTGGCCCAGATTATTTTGAAGCAAATACTAGCTGTATCATTTAACTATAAATAATAATCCCATTTTTAATGTCCAAGATCTCTAGTTGATATAGTACCAACTAGATACTAAAGATTTCTAAAGATTTTTCCTCTCTCCTATCGGTTCTGTTGCCTCTAATGTTAGTCATTCTAGTCTTTGATTTGGGTGCATTTTTATGATATTGGTGTCCTCACCTGTTCAGTGATTCCTGGTTTCTGCCCATCACTGTACTGGATGGAAGTCCCAGCTCTTGTTACTGTATATTGCTTGTTCTGTATATTCTGTATTTTCCTTGTTCTTCTCCATGATAATAGATAAAGGGCAACACTTCTGGTAGTGTCATGCCTCTGGAGCCCTAATACACTGGCTGGTAGAAAGAAGCCCTTGCTGCCCACTGTCTAGCACAGTGGGAAGGGGAAGGGCCCAGCCTGCCTAGTGGTCTGAATCAGTTCCTCAGCCAACTGCACCTAGAGATGGCCCAGCCAGCTTCCAGTCCCATATCAGGTGGCTCTGAGCTTACTATTCCACCTCTGCAGGAGTCCTGACCAACACACCCTCAGGCTTAGGTCTCCTTCTATTATGATTCTCTAAGCACTGATCTTGCCTTTCTCTCTTTTAGAGATTTTCAGTGTTTCTAGCCTGTTGTCAGAAACTTTTCATGTGGCTACAGATCTATTATGGATCTAGTTTGTAAGTTCTTGGCTGGTCTTTAATTCTTGCTGTCATTTCAGATGGTTTTACCTGGAGGACTGACCTTCTGGATCCACATCTTCATGTGTATATGTGAAAAGGAATAAAGCTCAGGTTCAAAGGACAGCAAATTATGATGCTTACATTCATTACCTGTAATATTTTGGTGGCTGTTTCTTTTTCTAAGGTGTTTACATTGTGACGAATAGGGTATTGCTGATATAGTCTCTAAGACATATATCTCTTTTCATTGGAAATTAACCTACAAAGCTGGAATCATTAAAATGAAAAACAGAGGTAACAGTGCCAAACACACTGTAAAACACACAGCTAATTTCAAATTTGAAGGTAAGGGGATGAAAGGGACCCTAGAAGTAATGAGGAGGACCCCTGATGTCCATAAAGTCAGCCTTGGTCTTTAGGCAAATTTGGCCCAAATCATGTAAATACATATTCGAAAATAAAGAGGTAACAGTTCCTACCATGTTGCATCTTTCAATCATTGGTGAGGGTTGAGGTGTTCCAGATATTGGGGTAGAGATTGGGGTCTTTATTTCTTCAATCATATTCATGATTTTCTCTGGTACTTTGGTGGCATCAACACATGTTTCCTGCCACCTAGGTAGTTTGGAATTAAGTAATTCTGCAGACTGTAAATACAAAAGAAACAAAGCTAAAGTCAAATGGACATTGTTCAGAGTTGAAAGTACATCAAGTAATACCAGTGAGTATGTATTACTGGCTTCCAGAAGTGTAAGCTTTGAGTTAAGTGGGAGCTTTGAGTTAAGTGCAGTGAGTAGTTTAAGCTTCCAGGAGTATCTGATCATGTTATCTGCTGAAAGGGATGTAGGTTTCTGTTCTAAGGAATTTATCTTCTCCCTCAGTGTGAATGCAAAGTACAAGACTAATACAGGGACTGTAAATGGCTAAGAACAAGTTAAAAAAATAAAAGGGATGGGTTGAACAATTTTTCCACTGGCCTTGGAAATGCCAATCATTGCTTTCTTCCTCCCATTCCTTCTAAAAGAAGCACCTCCAAACACAGGTGATAGGACCAGCAGTGGACTTTTTGACCCCAGGGGGAACCAGATTTATGTGTTAGCGGGGTGGATCAGATCTCTAGCTTGAGAAATTCATCAACTAGACAGAAGGACTAGAGGCAGGATGTGGCAGGTTCTTTGGTATAGGACTAGTACTGAGGGGACACCCTGCCCAAAGTCTGACTGGAGTCCTGGAGCTTTCCAGAGAATCTGGGCTACAAAGCAGAGACAAAGGATGACAGAGGTGAGGGCCCACGGCCCCAGGAGCAGAGGCAGCTGTCTCTAGCTCCCACAAGTCTGGTCTGCTTCTTAAAACTGGGCTCCTCGGGGCCTCTGTGGTGGTGCAAGGTGTTAAGCACAGCACTATGAAGCTGTCTGCAGCCTCTGCAGCATGAGTTCAATCCCCAGCCGGCCAGGGACCAACCCATATGGCACAGCAGACCTCTCCTGGCTCACCCGCTGCTCCCCTCAGCAGTGTATTTCAGTCAGTCTTCCTGTTCTATTCTGTATGCATAAATAAATCTTAAAAAAAAATAGCTGGGCTCCCCAAGGTTCCCTGAAACCTTCCACAAAACCTCTGTTCCAGGGCAGCAATCTGGTTGGGAAAGGGAAGTAAACACCTGTCTTGAAGCTATTTTCATAGCAATCACAAAGTTTTTTACTGAGACACTACGTTCATCAGGAATGGGCTGGGCTGTTGATGTAAATGCTAAGGGAGGGTAAATCTCCTCCCCCAAACCACTCACGCCCTGAACTGTAACTGATGCACCATGGACCAGTCGCTTGGGCCTGCTTCATCCATATCTAAGGAGCTTCTGAAAGGACTGGGATACTTTAGAGTGGTTTTCAGAGAGTTGAAGAAATTTCCCATTTTAAAAGAGGTCAATTTGATTCATGCCAAAATGCATATGTGGGGCCTCCCCGGTGGTGCAGCAGTTGAGCACTGCGCTGTGAAGCTGCCCGCAGCCTCTGCAGTGCCAGTTCAATCCCTGACTGCCGGCGAGGGTCCCACATGGCACGCAGACCTCTCCTGCTGCTCCCCTCAGCAGTGTACTTTGTCATTCTGCCTGTTCTGTTCCCTGCTCTGGTTCTGACTGTACCCAGTGCTTGTATAAATAAATCAATAAATCTTTTAAAAAAAAAATGCAAATGTGGGACCCAATGTTAAGTATAAGGAGGACTTTTCCAACAACTAGTTTTCTGGAAATAGACCAGGTTGGCTCATGACAGTGTGAGTATCCAGGGCTGGGGGAGTTCATTGTAGGAAAAGATCTTTCTGGTCTATGACCGTGGCCCATTTATGTAATAATTTTATTTTTTTTTATTTTTTATTTATTTTTAAAAGATTTATTTATACAAGCACTGGGTACAGTCAGAAGCGCGGGAGGGTGAGAGAATTTACCACAGCCGGAGTGGGGAGCAGAACAGGCAGAATGATGAAATACACTGCTGAGGGGAGCAGTGGGTGCGGCAGGAGAGATCTGTTGTGCCATGTGGGACCCTCACCGGTGGCCGGGGATCGAACTGGTGCTGCAGAGGCTGCGGGCAGCTTCGCAGCCCAGTGCTCAACCGCTGCACCACCAGGGGAGGCCCTTATGTAATAATTTTAGATGCTAGGTATGTAGATTAGGCAGGTAAATATTCTTTAAAGTTGCAAAAACTCTATGGAATATAACATGCTTACATATAGGTCAGGTTTTCTTCCTGCCTGAATAAAGAGGCAGTTGCCTTATACTCAAGTTTTTACAAAGTTTCTCATATCATGGAACACTGTCTAAGTTACTTTACTGTGAACTACAAAGAATATTTAACTTTAGTAGATGCTAGTTTTGGATGCTTAGATAGGTCCAACAGAATTCATAATTTTAAAAGAAGGAGGAAAAGAAATCCAACACATGTTTTCTAATGATTCCTGGGGTCATAACCTCCAGCAAGGAGGAGAGCAGCAAAGCCAGGCATTCCATGATGAAACAAACCCCGTGAAGAGGAATGATGATGTGATCGTGACCACAGTTCCAATGCAATTTTCAGGGACACCTCTATGCACGGAGCCCATCCGTTCCTCCCATCCCAACCCAAGGCAAAAATCTTAAACCACACAGGTGGGTGGACAGAGGCCCGCTGGGACTCATCCACAGCTCTGAGGAAGACATGGGTACTGGGGACGCATCAGAAAGAGTCTGAGAAAAGTTGACTTATATTGTAGTTGAGAAAAAGTATCATTTGTCAATTATTAAGCATTTTCTATGAAAAATTTTAAACATTACTAATTTAATTATTAATAGCAGACATTTGACCATTTCATCTAAATTTCTAAAAGTTTACATTTTCAAGTTGGCAAAAACCTATTTCTTTTGAGTCTTCATTGGCAAAATAGGCTCATCACTTCATATTAGGGCATATGTGGAAGTGAGGTATTTCAAGGGCATTTAACTATGAAACAAAATTATTAATGATCAACGAAAAATTTACTAAGATTAACACTATCAATAATTATTAAAATTATATTAATTATAACCAATAATATTGATATTAATAAATACATAATTAATGCAGCTAGCATAATTTGCCATTACACCCACCTGTGAATGATAATTATGTATGTGATTTGCAAAACTACAGTGCTTGTCAACCAGAAAGCAAAAACGCCTTTTCTCTTCGAGCAGAGCTTCTCTGCAACCTTCGGCAATAAATTTCTGGATTTCACTCTGCCGAGAAGTAACGGTTTCTACATACTAGGAAAAGAAATAATAATTACGCGTATATGACATGAGGAATCAAACAGCTGCACAGCCTGACATTTATCTTCTGCCAACTTTACATTTAGTCTATTTTGGTAATGGAGCAAATACTAAATGCAGACAAACATTAGACAAAATAACAAAGTTGTAACCTGACGAGCAGATACCATCATACTCATTAAGATCCCTGACTCACCCATGAAGAGAAGTTGCCAAAGGCCTGATGTTTCCATTGAGCAATTCGCACAAAATGTGACTTTGTGCTCCAAAGGTATGATTATGCTCTATTGGAAAATCATGGGCTGTGGAGCTAGAAAGCTCAAGTTCAAATCCCAACTCCAAATGCCAATCATGTGGCTGAACGTAGGCCTCATGCCTCATTTTCCACAATTGTCAGATGGGGAAAGCAACTGCTAATGATTGCTGCCCCTTACCCTCCTCAAGTCAGGAGAAAAGGCCAATATTTTTTTTTTTTCCAGAAAACTTTTTATTAGTGAAATTAAAAACCAAATGGACACTACAATTAGAATATCATGTTATTTCACACCTGGCAGAAGAGCATTGTTCTGTTGTTACTATTTTTCCCCCCTAACCATTTTTTTTTTTAAATAATAAATTTTATTTTTATATTCCCCATACAATTGCAACCCCCCTTTCTGATCCCAATCCCTCCCCTCCCGCCCCCCACCCCCCAAAAAGTGTCTCTGTTTCATAGTTTTTTGTTGATTCTGATTTTCACTTTCTTATAGTTATTCATTTTCCTGGTCTGAAAAGGCCAATATTTTCAGGAGGCTACCTACTGACTGATTATTCTTAACTCTGGAAAACTCTGTAGCCTTCAGCTCATGCAAAGTCAACTGCTTATTTTTTACTTCAACAGCAGCATAGCAATGGGTGGGTGCCCTGGTAAGTAGGCATCCCTGCAAATCCTACTAATTGCCAACAACAAAGTAAGGTAGCTATGAAAAGTTCACCTCGATTTCCTTGTGTTCATATTTGAGTGCATTTCGTGCTCCTTGACTTTTCCTTCTGATCTTCTTCAGCTCAGCTTGACACTTCTCCAAAGAATCTAATTTACTCCGGTGTTCTGTTTGGTATTTTTTGAGGGTTACCTGTAAGGTAAATACTTATTTTACTGCAACAACATACAAACTGCCATTTGGTCACTTCTGCTAACATTTCCACTGGGCGTGACTGTGGCCCACACCTCACCCTCACTTCATACTGCCATCCCTATGTCTGTCCTGAAGCTTCTCATTTGGATGAGGGGACACCAGAGGGGCAGCTCTTTGAAGACAACAATGTTTTTTCCTTCTTATATTTCTTCTCTCCTCAAAGATTTTGAGACACTGGGTGTCAGCAAGTGCCATGGAGAAATTAACAACATTAAGTCATATGTTCCTGACAATTGCAAGATTTATGATTTCAACAAACAGCATGAACAAGTGTGGTCACTTCTTGTTATTCTGGGTGCCACGTGGCAGAGTGCTTACAGGCACCAGGCATGGAGTCCAACAGGCCTGAGTTAGAATTCTAGCTTCATCCTCAGTCCTATGTGATCTCAGCATGACTGGATTTCTCTAAAATCCACTTTTTCCTTCTAATTTGTACAGTGAGGAGTTTCTAGAGGGGAAGACATCAGATTGTCTATGGAAAGCACTCAGTGTTAAATATACTCAGCAGCCTTCTGTCAGAGTACACAGGGCACGCCTGCACGCCTGGGCAGTGGTACCAACAGGGTAACCCACGCCACTTACGGCCACAGTGGGGGGCTTCATGGGAAGAAAGGAGACTTTAGGTGGCAAAAAAAAAAAAAGCAACTACTCCACAGCAGACACTGTGCTGGGGCTGCAAGGCCAGGCAGAAGGAGAAAACTGCTAGAAGTCACAATACCAGGAGATAGGCAAGGGACACCATGTAGGAGAGGTCTCTGATGAGTGGCCAGGGAGCCTCAGATGACCTTACCCTACGCACGTCCCACCTCCTGAAGTGTGGTTAGTGAAAGCAACAGCTGCACGAACATGGACAAGGTGCCCTCCACACATGCATGTTCTTTGAACACAGTGCATTCCAGGACAGGTGTGATTCCTTGCAACATTTTTTCTATGCTTTTAAACAAAGATCCCAAGAGTTAGTAAAAATGACCCCATGCAGCCCAAAGGGAACTTTTTGGTTTTCTGCATTTGTGTAGAGACCACACCAAGCCCCATGTGTACTTGTGACTGAGTAAACAGCAGGGCAAGTTTTCTTGGGCTCAGATCAGTTAAGCACAGCCTCTGGGAAAGCCAGGTCCCAGGCCCCACACACCACACCCAACTCCACTCATGATGTGGAGCAAAACCTATACTTACATTCATGTATTTTACATCAAGTTCTGTCTTCTTCTCCAGCTCCTGTATAATCTCTTTATGAAATAGTTTGAACTGTTAACAAAAGGAAATTAAAAATTCATATCATATGAGTCTCTCAATAGAATAAGATTTAAAAATAAAATAGATTTTGTAAATGTTGAAAAAGTTCACATACATTTTCATCAAGACTCTCATTGAGTTTCTTGTGGGTACTGGAAATCTCTATAAGAACACGACCTGTGGACAAAACCAGATATGTTAGGGATGAGGGAAGTCCTTATGTGGTTTTTGTAAAGACATTAAGGAAAGTGAAATCATAAAAGCACGTGCATCGCTGTCCTCAGTAACTATCAGTATCAAGTCCGGGATGTTGGGCACCAACTGTGTCCCCAAGATGGGAGTAGGTTCCAAGGGACACAGCTGAGGGCAAGATTATTCTACATCTTCATCAAAAGAATGCCAACTTGGTCTTTAAATTCACATTGTTTTTTCTATATCTCCTAGTTTCCTCATTGAATTCTATTTATCTGGTTTAATTTTGAAGTTCTCTACAAAAAATTACCTTAATCATTATAGTAACTAACTTCAGGAACAAATGACTTGTTTTTAATCCCCAGAGTAATCTGTTTATCTGTCAAGCATAAATTATAAACTTTATATTTTTTTATCTCATCTGAGTCTTTTCTTGTCCTAGAAAATATTAATGCCTCGAGAAATGCAGCAGGGACACTGCTCTGTGTCTTATCTCCTAGGATGATGTCAATTCTCTGAAATAAGTATAGTCATGCAACAGAAGACAAGACCACTGATTTGCAAAGCTCACACCATACAAACCATGGCTGCTGCATCTCTGCTACCAAACTCTGATAAAGATGAACAAGAGCCAAACAGATCAGATACTCAAGAGCTGGGAAACATGTAGAAATAATTTGGATCACCAGCAACTATAACAAACAACAAAATGTGCAAGCCACAAAATGTGGCTTGGTGGATAAATAATTCTTTGGTGAACTGACGGGCTGTAGGTGAGGTGGAATTAAAATTAAGACAATAGTGGGGGGCCTCCCCTGGTGGCGCAGTGGTTGAGTGCTGGGTTGCGAGGCTGCCCGCTGCAGCCTCTGCAGCGCCAGTTCGATCCCCGGCCACCGGCAAGGGTCCTACCAAAAAAAAAAAAAAAAAAAGACAATGGTGGGATATGGGGAAGAGAAAGAACACTGACCAGAGGATGACCTCAGCTGTCTCCTCTACACAATGACTTTGCCATGCACTGTTCTGGAAACACCTTAAGATATCTGACTCTCGAATTGGCAACCCGTTCTTTCCCACATCTTCAGACTTAGAAAGTCAACTCCTTCCTGGATACGTCCACCTGGATGTCCCATTAGACAGCTCATACTCAGCATGTCTAAAAATGAGCTCACTTCATGTCTCTAATCTCAGGTCCTGGATGCCCGTCTCTAGGGTGACACCTCACGTATGTGTCATGCTCATTCCCGGTGCCACCGCCTGGGCCAACCCCAGGGTGGAGGCCTGCTCCTTACTCATCCTGCTTTCTCAGACAACAAATGTACCAGCCCTTCCCTGTCTGTGTGGGAATGACATGTGAAGTCTATGGTTACCCAGTTATCTGTTCTGCCGGACCCAGCGGAAGAGTCTCCCCAGTTGCCCCCCACCAACAGTCAAACCAGCCAGTTGGACCAGATTATTAGGAATCCCCTTTACTCCCCACATGCCCTCATTCAAGCTTTTATCATTTCTCTTGACTCCCAGCTTGTATTCTTCTAGATCTTCTTCCTCACAGGTACCAGGAATCTTTCTAGATGCAAATATGTTTATGCCCAGACCCCACCCCCCACGTGATGTCCAGATAAACCAGCTCATTAGCACCAAGCCCAGCAAGAACAGTGCTGCTTAAAATAATCATGGCAGGTGGTGGGGACAGAGACTCTCCTGTGAGTATAAAATTGTATAAGGCTATAAGTAATAAGATCAGAGGCCTTACACAACCTGTAAGTCCTGAAGCACCGTGACATTCTAGGAATCTCTAACAGAACAGCCAGCTGTATGAACACAAGGATGAGGGTAGATACATCCCTGGCACCCGTGGTTCCGCCATGCCAAGTTGTCAAGGTAACCAAACAACATCCTTGATGACATTTATCCCACAATTAATTCAACAGGAAACAAAGCAGAGTTCTTCACAAAGGAAGCCTTCACACGACCAAGAACATGACCACATTAATTTGTCATTTCAGATACTGCAATAATCTGAGTTACGTTCACATCTACTTTAAACCCATAAATAGCTCCTTGTTGGAGATGAAAAACAGGAATGACGATGTCAAAAAAAAAAAAAAAAGAAAAAAACAAAACCACTTTAGAGTATTTGAAAAATCAAGCACTGTATTCTTGGCAAATCAGATCTATTTTTTAAAGTCTAAAAATAATTCTGCTTAAATAATTAAGAGTGACTTAGAAGCAAAGCAGTCACATTTTTTCCCATAGGGTCATGCACTTTATTTCTACAACCTTATACAATGTGGATCTCTGGGAAGTGTGTTGTCAAAACAGAAGTACGTGCTAGCGTGGTTGCTCCTGTGGATGGCGGCATCGCAGACTCGGTGCCCACACACCCCGGTAACTCCCATCCCCCGCCTCCCCCTCCTGTGGCCTCTCCCCATGGGCAGCCTGGTGGAAAGGCTCAGTGAAACAGCCCATTCACTCTGCAAGCAGGCATGGAACACCTGACCTTATCCTTGTTATTGCTGTCCCTCACAGTTAGTGGAATTTAAATGCCGACCTCATAGCAGCAGTCACTGAGTCCTCGGTCAAAAAAAGAATTAAAGACATCTTTGCTGCTGTTAGGTAAAAGCTGCCAAAGTTGTATCTTGAAACAGAAAATGAAAACGGCCTTTATGTTCAACCTACAGAAGTATGTTCTTAAATATAGTGGTACTTTATGTCTGAAATGTAGTATCACACAGAAACCTTCTTTTCCATAAATTATATTTGAGAAGAAAAAGAAATTTTGAAAGGGTGTTGAGAAAGTACAGTTCAGACTCTAATGGAGCAGAACCAAACACGCCCCAACAGGAATCAACGTGTTGATCCCAGAAATCACAGGCTCATATGTACTGGATCAACCATTTCCTTTTTTCCCTTTTAGGTTTTGAGTCAACATTTTGGGAAGCAACTCATGGTAACTACAGTAATGTGACTCAGTCTGAATAAAGCATATTCTTAGATTTCAATACTAAAGGAATTTAAATATATGCAAAGTTCAAAATCATAGACTTGACATAAGTAACAAAGATCAAACAGTACTGCTGGTATGAACACATAGAAAATTTTCATTTGAAATACAGCTTGTTGCACTATTACTATATTTTCAAGTAGATAATTTTTCATTAATTCAGTGTAAATATATTTTTTTCATTCTTTTTAAAGATCTATTTTTTATTTATACAATTGCTGGGGTATAGGCCAGAGGTGAGGGAGGGTGAGAGGATTCACCAGAGACAGAGCGGGGAGCAGAATAGGCAGACAGACCAAAAGCACTGCTGAGGGGAGCAGTGGGTGTGACGGGAGAGGTCTGCTGCGCCATGTGGGAATCTTCCTGGTCAGCTGGGATTTGAACCCGGGCTGTAGAGGCTGCGTACAGCTTCACAGCGCTTGTTCAACCTGCTGCACCACCGGGGAGGCCCCTACAGTGTAAATTTAGAGGAACCAGATGGAGACCATTGAATCTGAGAAGCACAGACCATGTAGGCACACATATTCTTTGCTATTTATATTTGATCATGAATAATCAGAACATATTTATTATTTCTAGAGAGCACAGCACAATGATACACACTTCCTCTGTGTTACTTTAAGTAGAAACAGGCAATAAAAGAACAAAGAATAATCTACCACTTGCCTAAAGTTGTACTGTATGGCTTAAGGTAAAATTGATCATAAAAATGTCACTGGAAAAAGGGCATACTTCTGATAATTTTCTAAATATCAAACGTGATAAGGAGAAAGTGATATAGAAGGAGACACAAACTACATACAAGTGGGATATGTTAACTACCTGAGTATGCTCTCTCTAGGTCAGAGGCAGACTAGTGAGGATGGGCCTGTGACCACACTTGAAAGGTTCAGCAGCGTCTGAGAATAGCTCTTAGCACTGTCCCCACAGTCCCTGCATGCAGCAGGAGGTGCTTGTTCCTGATCAGTGTCAAAATGTCCAAGTAAATGGTGTACATGTAGGGATAATGCCAAAGGAGAGACAGGGTGAGCAGCTCATTGAACACTCCTCCTTGAGTCTAGTTTCTGGTTTAACCAACTACAGCACTGAATGTCTTATATGGAGACTACTTTACCACCTTAAGGAAACAAATGGGACAAACAGAAGTTCTACACTAGAATTATAAAGAATTCTCAAGTTATTTCATTGCCTGAAATGACACTAAAAGTGCCAAGCAATGTCTTGACTTTGATAAGAAAAAATCATGCTGAGATGTGTGATGAAATCTCTAAGGAAATCACTAAAAGAATAAAGTACATGTAACTACCAAGCTAATAGAGGGGGGAGGGGAAAAATAATCAGTCAAAAAGAGGACAAGAGAGAAAATGAACCAGCATAGTAGAGAGCAAAAAATAATTAACAGGATATAAATGGGCTACATACTCCAGTTTAAATGCAGAAGTTCTTAGGATTAAAAAAGCAACACCCAACTATATTCTGCTTAAAAGAGACACACCTTAATATATGGATACAGAAAGGTTGAGGACAAAAGGATAGAATGAAATATATGGCAAACACTAGCCAAAATAAATGTAGGTATATTAAAATCAAGCAAGACAAACTAGCCAAAGAGAGCATTATAACAGACAAAAAAGCCAATTGCATAATGCAAAAAGTTCAATTCACCTGAGAGAGAAAAATTTTATTTTTATGCATCTATTAATATGTTCTCAGCATATTTAAATCAAAGTTGAAGTATAAAAATACATTAAGTCAATAGTTGTAGGAGACTTTAATACACCCCTTTTAGTAAACTAATAGAACACATATTGAAAAACATTGTACAATAAAAGAATCAGTATAGATAATAAATGACCTGAATAACATAATAAGTAAATTTGATCTAGTGGATATACACAGAGGACTATATCTAACAACTTCATTTTTTTTTTTAATAGAGGCATGTTTTATTTATTTGTTTGTTTGTTTGTTTGTTTTCGTTTTA